AGACCAGGCAATTTGCCTTGCTTACAATTCATTCAGTTCACACCACTGCGATGTTGTGGTGTGTAGAAAAGAGTATGGTATGCAGTTTTTTTTTCAGCCCAGCGTGGTGCAACGCAGTCCATCACATTCCACCACAGATGATCACACTGAATGAAATTAACTATTTTTTGCCAGTATCCAATCAACTGAGGGTAGCCTAAATGTAATCCATGGTCTAAAAATACAAACGCTGTGTCCTGCACTGTACAATAAAGTAGCATAAACCCAAAACCAAACATGTAATACATTTCAGCTTACCAATCATTAGATGTAGTGGCTGCATTAGTTTTATTAGGCTTTTTTCCCCTCCGTTTTAACCTGGTGATCTGGCCAGTAACACACCTCCTGTATTAGAGTTTCCCCACTCTGGATGAAAAAGCACAGGGGCACAGCAGCATTATCGGTCTGGGAGGGGGAGGGTGGTGTTAAATGTACTTGCAGATTTAAATACACATATAAATATACAGATTGAAGCCAAACTGTAGCTAATATTTTATGATTATAAACAGCAATTCCTTTATTGACAAAGGTTTTACATAAATAATTGATGATCATTGCAAGCACCCGGTTGGGGATAAATGGTTTGCCCCATCCTTGTAAACATACATTTTTAAGAAAGCTTGTTCTTTTGAAAAACATTAGACTTACAGGTCAGATCACCAGATAAAAATAGAAGAATGAAAGCCAAAAAAAAAAAACTAATGCAGACATCACATCGAAGAATTGGTAACTTGCAATACAATAAAGGTTTGCTTTTGGGTTTAATAGCACTTTAAGATAAAAGGCTGCTAGGGCATCAGTACCACATTACTCTCAGCACACTCCAGTGGCTACGATTTAATATGGTTGCTGGTATTAATTTCGGCCAGGTATTCGTACTGAGATGTTCATGATAAAGTCAGCAAAAAGGTCATAATGCCCAGAATTACAGATTGGTTAGCTGTAGTTAATACAACTAATGTATTTTGGAATCATTTTGCCATGTGTTATTCTTTTACACTTGTTTTAAAGTCCCATTTTCATTATATCATGATCTATATATTAAAAATACAGGGAACCTTAAAAGCTGTTGCTTTGATCTGCCCTGTGAGCACCACCAGCACTGACCATAAAATCATTATACCAGCCACCAGCCACTAGAATGGTTCATTTCTGCACCAAGGTTCATGCTATAACTCTGACTCCTAAAACACAACCAAAAACGAATACAAATAAACTCAGCTACTACAAAGAAGGAGTTAAAAAGAAATCTAATGAAAAAGGAAAAAGGAAAATACACAGAACAGCAGCTTTTCTCTATTACAGGGATCCAAAACATACATACTTCTGATTCAACAATTTTCTCTTTTCTTACCGTTTATATTCTATCAGAACTCCGGAAAAGAAAATTTTTACATGTGCACATTCAGGTTTTGTTTTATCAAGCCCTGAAGTATTCCAAAATCTTGCTCAGGACAGCATTTTCTGAGAGCAGAACCTCTGATTGAAAACAGATTTCCACTCTCCATTACTACATTAACAAACAACACTCAAAGAGGGGCCTACGCCGACATTTCATGCCTTAACAGTTTTCATTTGTACAAGAACACTCAAAAAGATCTCAAGAATGCTGACATTTTAACAAATAATTTAAGAATTCCATGCTAATTTACAAAATCTGTTTACTCAATTAACATGGTCAAAATTATTTTTGAATTTTTGCCCAAAACTGATGGGCTGAATTTCCCACCAATTTATAAGTCTTGGGAACTCTGGTACCAACCTACAAAAAAAAAAAAAAAAAACTTCTAGCATTAAAGTATATCTACATCCATTTTTTCTTTTTTGAATAGAATAGAGCTTTGTTGTCCATTGTCTTTTTATTGTATCCCTCCAGAGATACCGTGGAGTGAGCATAGCCACTGTTAGTTGCTGGTAAAATGAACAAAAATTAAATTTTTGTTTTGGGGTTTAACTGCACTCTTTTGGCTTTCTCCTAAATCTTGTGAGTTTGTTTCTGCATAGCTTTAATAAGTTACATAGTTGATGCGATTGAATTTGATTGGGATTATATTTAACAGCTTCGTACATACAGCCCCTTATAATCACATTTGTAACACAGAATCAGCTGAAAAAAATATTGGAAAAATACAGAGGGTTAAATATGAAGGCTTCCCAAACATCTTAAGAGCAAAACTGTTATAGGTTATGCTGAGAGAGCAGACTGGATTCAAGGAAGGAAGATGAAACCAAACTAAAATTTTCTCGGAAACTATTTTTGGCACAAACTTTTGATAATGCTTCAGACATCCATGTTTCAGCTTAGCAGGAGTTTAAATGAAGAAGAGGAGAAAAAATAATAGCACAAGAAAAAGCCATATGGGGAAAATGAAAAACCCCATATCATGAGTCATGGCAAGACATATCCCATAAACTTTGCAATATTTAACTTATTATTTCTTTCGGAGAAGCAATTTGTCAGAAACATGTTCGATACAAGTTTTGGGGCATTAAATAATTACTTTCCAGGAGAACAGAGTGATTATTGCTAATATCTACAATAGCTGCTAGCAATAGTTGCATGTAAAATCCGACAGGCTGGTTGTACCCAAGTTGACCATTCAACTACGGCACAATCAGCCTGCCCATACATGGTTCGAACCTCCACTGGTCCCTGGTCAAACTGTGCCATGACAGTCTAAAACTCATCTACTAGTAATAACTAACCTACAGGAGGAGCTACAGTCCTAGGAAAAATTATAGTGACCATTGTGCCTTTAAAAAGTGTTACTAAACCCAGGACCCTGAATTCACTATATCTGGTCTCCCACAGTACACACAACATGGAAATGCAATTATTTTAGTAAATATAAACTGCTAAATACCTTTTCTCATCAGCAGTTAGAGCAGTCTTGTGACTTCTATCAGTGTTCAACAGAGCACAGGTTAAAGCTTGTAGGAGGAGTTTTCTTTGTGCTCTAAGAGGATGCAAAACCCCTGACCTCTGTCTGGACCAGGGGCGGACTGACAACTCATGGGGCCCCCAGGCAATAGGGGATCATGGGGCCCGTGTCCTTGCCCAAACTCAAAAAAGCCTATGAAAAAGGTACCAGGGGCATCTCATGGGGCCCCATACTGACCCTGGCCCCACAGGCAGTGCCAGAATTTCTAAATGGTCAGTCCGCCCCTGGTCTGCACAGTGCTGATTGGTCCTGTGCTGATCACATGCATGCTCCCAAGAAAAAGAAAAAAAACCTCTCTAGCAATACACACTAAACTGAGCATGTGCACAATGGCTATGGTTCAGTATGTCTTATCAGGAGATAAGACATGGACATTTGAACATGAGGTGGAGCAGAAAAGTCAGAATAAAAGGGCCGTTTTACACAATGCAGAGGGTTAACCCCTTAGGTTTCACAGTGAGGATAACAAGCATGCTGCATATACAGACTGATGTTACTGTTGTGGGTTTAGTAACACTAAGTCTAGATCTCTGCACTGCCTAGTATTCAGGTAGAATACAGAAAATTTGGTATTCTGTTCTTATGAATAGTAACAGACTGGGTTCAAAGAACGAATTCTAGATCTAGGGGCAAATCGTATAATTGGAAAACAGCCCTTAGGGTTCATCATGAGCATAAGCTGCAGGCCACAAAAATATTAGCAGTCTGGAGTGAACTGATAAACAATTCAATCGGCTCTGATTCTCGGGTTATTACACAAGTGCTTTTCATTCACTATGCAAGCACCTACAAATTACTACACACAATGGGGCCTAGGAGTGTAAGCTGACAATTGGCATGTGGATAGCATGCCCCATAGCCCTCATGCTTGGTTCACATCTATATGCACATCTGTAACATGTAAAAAAAAAAAAAAATGACGAATGTTTCCGATGGGGGGGTTTGGTGTTGCCAATAATTCTCAATTGCACACAACACATTAGCAAATGCACACATTTCCGCACACGCCAAAACAGCAGCGCCATGTGGGACTTATTTCCTCATGTTTTTTCGCGGGTAGGGCAGCCCATTGAAATGAACAGGCTTCCCTACACGCAATGCACATTTAAGAGTAAAGTGAACCAAGCCTTCAGGTGACATTAAAAAAAGAAAATTCTAATCATGCATGTATTCTTAGCTCAAAAAAGTACTTTTTATTGCTCCAAGCCTCCTCCAAATTCCTTTTTTGCTGACTTCCTGTTAGTGGGTGGCTACATTCATTCTCCATGGTTCCACTCTGTCTAGGAAAGTAGCCACCCTCTTGCTTGCTCCCAAGATGGACTAGGGACTATGCGATTTGTAGTGTGAATACAGCAGCACACATGACCACAATTAATGTCCACGGCTCGATTCAAACAAACAGAAGCGAAAGGGAAAAGAAGAGGTTCTTTCAGGATCTCATGGAGGGCGTTATGAGAAGTAAATAACACAGTAGAAAATAATTAAAAGAAGAAAAAAAAAAAACGGATTACAGACCCACTAAGTAGAGGTGTATAAATTATTTTGAAAAGAAGGATATTGTTTAAAGTGTTACTAAACCCACAACAGTTAAATCAGTCTGTATATGCAGGAAAGCATGCTTGTTATACTCACTGTTGAACCTAAGAGGTTAATCCTCTGCATTGTGTAAAAACGCGGTTTGATCCTGACTTCTCTGATCCTCCCCTTCTTCCAGTGTCCCCCTCTTATCTCCTGATATGACGTCATGTGCAGTGACTCTGCACATGCTCAGTTTGCTGTGTATTGCTAGTATTTTTTTTTTTCCTTCGGAGAGTGCATCTGTTCAGCACAGGGCCAATCAGCACTGTCCAGGGGTCAGGGGTCCAGCATCCTCCTAGGGCAGAATGAAAACTCCTCCTACAAGCTTTAACATGTGCTCAGCTGGACACTGATAGAAGTCACAAGACTGCTCTGTTGATGAAAAAAGGTATTTAGCAGTTTATATTTACTAAAATAATTGCATTTCCATGTTGTGTGTACTGTGGGAGACCAGATATAGTGAATGCAGGGTCCTGAGTTTAGTAACAGTTTAAAGGTATCTTTAAAATGTAATGTAGCAGGCTCCTTGTACAAGAGGATTCAGAAGTCAGTCCTTCCTCTCTCTCCCCTATTTGTAAAACCTGGGCATTCTGCCAAGTTCATGACTCATCCACTACACAGCAAAGAACGCTGGGAAAGGGAGGGAGGCAGGAAGTGAAGGGGAGAAGAGAGAGACACGAGGCTGGAGAAAAGACAGGGACATGTGGAGCCCATCCAAGCAGAGGAGGAGGCACTACAGCACTCAGCGCGGATAGAGGGATCCTGCTGTGTGTTCAGAGTCTTGTGAGCTGTCCCCCTGGAGAGAGTAAGACACACCATTTACACTTTGCATATAGACTGGGACATCCGCACCCCACTGCTGGGATCTCACCCATCCGGGGCCCTGTGCAAGCCACAGATCCCTCTGCCTACTTTGCCCCTCACCACCAGTGTAATTGAGACTGTCTGCCCCGGGGACTGACACATACTGGGAGATTGCATCCTGCGACTGCCCCTGGTCTTGGGGTGCTTTGTGTTGCTCTAGACACACTGAGATTGGATCCTCTCAGCCCAGAAACCTAGTGAAATCTGATGTAACCCACACCAGCTGAAACTCCAAAGAAGCCTTCAGCTGCTATTTACTTCATTGTAAGGACTAAACGTGCACCAACTAGAGCTCCACCGTTACAGGGACTGAAGTGGGGGAATCTGGCTTAGTAGCTTTATTAGAGGTACCTCTTTATTGCATTCTGTTCTGACTCTGAGGTGATTTTTGGCTAACGCCCCCCAGAAGCAGAATCATACACCGGTGTGGGTAATACATTTCATTGATAGAGTATAAGTAAGTTTATTTGTTTGATATCAGTTGTATTCTGCTTAAAGTGCAACTCTGCCATCCGGAGACTGTTGGCTGTGAAGCCCTCTAGTGGCAGACCAAATTTACTGCATTGCATAAAAGAAAAAAAGTAAGTTTTGAAGTTGAAAGGGGAACCCCACCCCTCTACACTGCATTTTATTCTCCATAAAATTGTTCTTGTTTCATTTAACCCTGTGTCAGCAAATTTCTTGGCGGGGTATTTGCTATTCATTACCAGTTGTGCCAGAGGGATTGGGTTTGCTTAGGGTTGGATCTATTGAGCGCAGGACCCATAATATATTCCAGCTTGTCCCAAGGGGCAGTGCTACAGTAATGTTAGTGAGAAAATTAAGTCCTGCTAGATCACTTCATGCCGGCCCCTTTTGCAGGAATAGCAGGTAAAACGTTATAAATAGGTGCCTATGCTGTTTAAAATCCAGTAATACACAGTCTCACCCTGCTCTTCACATGCTCAGTTGCTCTATATTTTTCAGCACTGTACCAAAATTATAGAGACCAATCTTCTCACAGCCTAAAAATTTACTGCTGCTCAGGGGCTCTGAACGTTAGCAAAATGGGAGCCTCCAGCATGAAGAAACAGGAACAATGGAGTAGCACAGTGGCTAAGTGGTTAGCACTTCCATCTAGCACCACTAGGATCATTGGTTTGAATACCAATCACCACACTAGCTGCCTGGAGTTTGCATGTTCTCCCTGTGTGGTTTTCCTCTGAGTACTTTGGTTTCCTCCCACATTCCAAAGACATGCTGGTAGGTCAATTGGCTCCTGTTTAAATTGGCCCTAGTATTTGCATATATGTGAGTTAGGGACCTCATATCATAAGCTCCCTAAGGGCAGGGATGGAGCTGAATGTACAATATACATGTAAAGTAATGTGTAAATTGACGGCGCTACATAAGTACCTGTAATAAATAACAAATAAACAATACTAGGGGCAATGTACAGCACACACTCATTTTGGTAGCATAATTATTAATGTGGAATGTATGTCCCTTGCTAAAGAACATTATTTTTTATTAAGTTGTTATGGATAAAGTTACACTTTAACTTTTTGACCTTGAGTCTAACATACACAAAAAGAAAATAAATGAGGGAAATCTTACAAACACACATAACGTACTATCATGCTATCCACATCTACACAATCATGTCTCGATATATGTAAAGCTCCTTCTCCTTCCGCAGAGGATTGTAGGGCAATGCCACCTTACACATGACAGTTTTAATATCATTTTAATTTGAAAAAAGTTATACAGCGTGTATTTTAAAAATAAATACAGGATAAATGTAAAAAAAACAAAAAAAAAAACCAATAGTACTGTAAGCTGTTCAATACATTATGGTTCCAATAAGAATAAAACACCGAGAACTGACTCATCACCACGGGACTGTGGTTTTGATTAGCAAAGTTTTGGCTACAACAATAAATGAATATATTACATTCTTCTGGGATATCTTTGAAGTGCAGGAACAAACTGCCACAGCATGACATTTTCAATACCAAACGTACAAGTTTCAATATCCATAGCTTTTCATATGATTAGTCATTTGGAAAGCTACCCCTTTCACAAATCAACAAAGGTAAAATGGATTCACTGGGAATAGGTTTGGCAAAACTTGTGGTGTGCATACTATAGCTCGAATGGACAATGGTCTCATTAAACATTAAGCATGTAACCTTTCTAAATTTACTGGAGGGCGTTTTGGACACACATCTAGCAACTGTATGCGGCAAACTCCCAGTCAAACTGACCTAAATATTCAACCCACAAAGCTATATATTGGTAGCTGGAGAACAATTTCCCTGAATACTTAGTGTAACTAAGGGCTCATGTACACTGCAGCTGCTAAACTGATGTTCAGGAGCTGTTGAGCATTTTTTTTCAGCAGCCCCTGAACTCTCTCTGTTTTCCTATATGTCCATGTACACATAGTCATTTACAGTCGTTTACAGGCAGTTGAGTTTACAGTTGTTTTTTTGAACGCACCAAAATTGCATTCAGGAGTAGATTTTACCGCCGTTTCAAACGCAAAACGCTTGTAAACGAGGTTAACAGCATTTACAAACGTTTGCATTTAGATGCGTTTTTTGACAGGTCCATATCCAGATGCTGTCCAGAGCCTTTTTTCTTCATCAAAAATGCATGCAAAGCGTTTTCCATGTATTCAAATGGACCTAGTACACCAACACAGTCAGTTCCAGGCTTAGTGTGAAGAAAAAAATGGGAGAACGTGCTGCATTATGCTCATGATGGGATCCATAGTGAATACAACCAGAAAAGACAGGTAATCTCAACACATACTGCTCTCTCTGCTTCTGCTCTATTTCTCTCAAAATGTCTGAAATAGTTAATTATTTGCTATTTTTCAGTGCATTCTGGACATTTGGGAGGGTCTCCTGAGGTTATCTTTTAAAACGCTTCTAAACGCAAACACGTATAAACGTGGCTAAATGCACATAAAAGCGGTAGGCAAGCGAGGCTAAACTGATGTTTTTGACCTACGTTTTCTAGCAGTCAGAAGAGTTTTCTAAATGCCCCGTGTACATGAGCCTTAAAGGCAAAGCATTTTTTTTAAATCTTGGATAGAGTGGAGATGGAATAGAACACCTGTCTGCTTTCATTGCTGTCTGTATCCCCGTTAGGGACAGTCACCCTCTCCATTTGTCCAGTTTACTGTTATCATTGAAAGTTAAAGTAAATGAAGATCCCAAATTTTGGGTTGTCCCCAGAAAAGTGGAAGCCTTCCAATGACACTAGCTGTGGTGACCTGGGGGTACCCAAGGGATTCCCCTAATTTTCAGGGATTTCCTCTCACTTCCTGTTTTGGCTATCGGACAGGAAGTGAAGGTAAATCTCCCCAAAGGCACACAAATAAAAAAAAAAAAAAAAAAAAAACTGCCAGGGGTTATAAGTCTCCATTACGCTATGCATAATAAAAAAAAAAGGTTTTGCTTATGGTTCTACTTTAACCATTTCAATACTGGGCCCTTTCAAGCACTGATGAGGCTGCAGAGATGGGCACTGATGAGGAGGCAATGATGAGGCTACACTTATAATCAGTGCCCTGATTATCAGTGTAAACAAAGTACTGACAGCATTGCGGGGTATCGGCTGTCTTTTCCTCACACAGACACAGGGTGTGAGGAAGACTGCCAATAAACACCAATTGTTTAAATATGATCTGCTGGGACTGGACGCAGCTGATCACATGGTAAAGGGCCACTGTGATTGGCCCTTTACAATGTTCTGTGATCAGCTGTGTCCAAAGGACACTGCAGTCACAGAGTGTGCCCCAGGAAGCGCGGTTCTGGGAAGACATCCATAGATGCCCTCCCAAAACAAGAGAACAGCGCTGTAGCCATCTTTCAGGTATATCATGGTACTAAAGTGGTTAAATATGAAAGTGTTGCTACCATTATTATTCCTCCCCAACACTTTTTTGGGGCAATTTTTGACAGGTACCCACTCCCATTTTGCCAATTCTTTCCTAGGTGAGGAGGACATCCGCTTGAGCCAGTCCCCTGCCAATGCCCCCCACCTCCTGGGACACATAACATGAGGCTGCAGGACTAGTCTCAACACAATGTGCAGTGGGGAGCCAGCTGCAACTCCTCAGGAAGTCACAGCTGACTCCAAAACCCAAGATAGTGGCACTTGGGACCTGCAGTGGTGGGAAGAACTGGCTGCGGGATGACAATATTGGACTCCAAGCACTGGTATTGAATTTTAAACAGTCAGCACCAACAATTTTTTCAATTTTTTTTTTTTTAAAGGCTGACATTCTTCTTTAATATGGAGAACGCAAAAAAACAGTGATAAAAAAAAAAGTGATCCCATTAGCCATTTCATCAGTTTTATACAGAAACCAGTATCATACTTTACAAAAAAATTTGATCCAATAGACATTCCAGGTAGAACTAAGGCGCCCAAAACCATACAAATCTACCTGTATACACTTTTTTTTCTATTTTTCTTTTTTTTTTTTGTGACACATAGGAAATTAGATTTACATATGTGTAATATATATATATATATACACACAAAATATATATATACACACACACACATATATATACACACACACACACACACATATATATATATATATATATATATA